GGCCATGGGTGGCCCTGGGACCAGGGACTTCTCTGCCCTGTGGGTCGGGGGTGGGGGTGGGGGTTCAAGACCTGGCCCATTCCTGGCACTCCCACACGCAGGAATGGAGGACTTGCCCCGAGCTCCCTCTGCCCCAGGCTCATTGTGCTCCTATTGGGTGCTCCCCTGGGCCCAGAGTCCCCCTCCCTCCCTGCACAGGCCTCCTCATGCGGATGCTCCCCAGGTCGGTGTGGAGGTTGAGGAGGGCGCGGATGCAGAGTGGCTGTGCCATGATGTGGCTGAGCGGTGGCCGCTGTGAGGGCTCCAGGCTGAGCAGACTGAGGACGAGCTGGCGCAGCTCAGGGCTGTACCGGTCAGAGATAGGTGCAAAGGTGCCACTCATGATCTTCAGCACCAGCGCTGGCAGGTTCTGTGAAAGCATCAAGTGTGAGGTTGGCCACAGCCGGAGTCATGCTCTTGGGTGGCAGCGCCTCCCTGCCCCAGGTCTAATGGGGTGGTCATTGCCCTGCACTCAGAGCGTTCAGTCTGAAGAGGGGACTCCCAGTGATACAGTTGCTGAACCCTGCTCTCAAGAACTCCTGGTAGGGGAGCTTAGCTTCAGTTATGTCCTCAGGAACCCTAGGTTGTTGGGAGAACTCAAGCCTTGCCCTTAGGAGGGTCCCTAATCTGATGGGAAGAGCTCTGCTTTCAGGAGTCCTCAGTTTAGTGGAAAGGCCCAAGCCCTCCCTCAGGAACCCAGAGCCAGAGGGAAGTCACAGCCCTGCCCTGGGCTGACCTACTGGTCTGATGAGGGAAACATAACTCAGCCAAAAGAGAAGAAATAAGAGGTGGCTGGAGCCGAGGACTTCCTGAGGAGGGACAGAGATGTCCTAGTTGTCCCCATGGGGGTGCTAACTCACCGCAGCTTCAAAAGCCCTCTTGAGACTGGCCAGTTCATAGAGGACACAGCCCAGGGCCCAGATGTCACTCTTCTGGTTGTAAGGCTTGCCCTCACACAGTTCAGGGGAGATGTAGCACGGAGTACCCACCACCTGCAGGGCGGAAGAGGATATTATTATAGCCTGAGGGTGGGGGAGGGAAGGCTCTGTTCAAGGCCCACTGGGAGACAGCTTCTTCCCAAAGCAGGCCCAAGTGCTTCTTCCTGCAGCCAGCCAGGGCCTAAGGGGCCAAGGTCTTATGGTGGAGAGAGAGTTGGGACACAGAGTGGGCCTTGGCCATCAAAACCTCCAGCACCCTTGAGTTCCCCTCCATGCCCAGGCACCGTGTAGGCCTTGCTCTTGCTGCTAAGGATCTTGGAGATGCCGAAGTCCCCGATCTTGACAACCATGCGGTGTTTGTCAAGAAGGATGTTTTGAGTCTTAAGGTCCCGGTGCAGGATGAGATGGGTGTGCACGTGATGGAGCGCGAGCAGGATCTGCACAAAGAAGTGCAGGATGGTCTCCTCCTCCAGCAGGGAGTTACAGCGTTTTTGGATGAACTCAGCCAGGGTGCCACCTGCAGCCACAAGGAACCACTTCAGATCCAGGTCTCCCCATACCTGGGACTCTCCTTTTATGAAACTAAGCCCAGAAAGGGCAAGGGCCTGCTAGCCTCACACAACTGGGATGAGAACTCTATACCTCTGACCCTCCATCAAACTCATTCTGAGGAGGGAAGCCGGCTGATCTGTGTCTGCCTGTCCCAGAGGTGAGAGGCCCTTGGAGCCAGGACAATGCAAGAAGGCTGGCCCACCTGGTGCGTATTCCATGGCAATCATGAGGGCCTTGTCCTCCAGGAAGTTCTCATAGTACTCAATGACGTTGGGGTGATTGAGTAGCTTGAGGACCTGGCACTCATTTTGGGCTGCCTGCCGCTCTTCCTTGGTCATCTGCTCCACTGGGATCTGCTTGATGATCACCAGCTTCTGGTCAGCCTTGCGCAGGCACAGGTGCACAATCCTGGGGACACAGAGTACAGGGGTGGGTACCAGCCGAGCCTCCAGCCACACATCAGGCAGGGCAGACCTGGTCACTGGATAGTACTTAAGAGAGGGGAAAGGAAACCCAGACTAAGAGATCATCTAACTAAATGCACAGAACACTGAGTTTAGGAACAGGGAGAATTGACCACAAACTCTGTGTGAGACCTTAGGCAAGTCATTCAACTTATTTGAGATTCAGTTTCACCAAAGACACAGTGAAGTTAGTCTTGATCTCCCTACGTTCCCACACACCCTGGAGTTAACTGCCTGGGTTCAAATCCTGGCTCCTCCTCTTACTACTTATCTACTCTTGCATTATATGATGTTATCATCTGAAAAACAGAATCAACTTCCCTGGGTTGCTGAGAAAATGCATGTAAGGCACTTAGCACAGCGTTTGGCACATCAAAAATGCTCAATGAGTAGAAGCCATTTACACTATTATTTTCTTCCAACTCTGGTTAGTATCCATAAAAAGCAGGATTCTTGTTCTCCTTCGCAACCATATCCCCAGAGCATAGCCCAATATTTAGCACACAGGAACTCAATAAGTATCTGCTGAATGAATGGATGATATGAATGAATGATCATCTAAGTATCAAATTTATATTTGATATATCTCTCCTCTGAGCCCCAGACTAACAAATCCAACTACCCGCCTTGCATCTCTACCTAAATGGCTTGCATGCATCCTTAATTTTAACAAAAAAATCAAAATAGAACTTTTGATTCCTGCCCCCAAAACCTTTCCTTTCTCAGTCTCTTCCATCTCAGTAAATGACACCACCACAAAGTCAGACACCCTGAAAATCATGCCAAAATCTTTCCTCCATTTCAAACAAACACATCAACAAATCCTGTTTCTACCTCCAAAATACTGTGAACTCATCCATTTCTCTCTCTGATTTCTGCTACAACCCTTGGCCAAGTCATTATTTCCTGCCTAAAATACTGCACGAGTCTTTAAAATGGTACCTTCACTTTTGTCATCCTCAAATCTAAGTTCCATACAGCAGCCCGAGTGACATTTTAAAAATGCAAATTAGGGGCGCCTGGGTGGCGCAGTCGGTTAAGCGTCCGACTTCAGCCAGGTCACGATCTCGCGGTCCGTGAGTTCGAGCCCCGCGTCGGGCTCTGGGCTGATGGCTCAGAGCCTGGAGCCTGTTTCCGATTCTGTGTCTCCCTCTCTCTCTGCCCCTCCCCTGTTCATGCTCTGTCTCTCTCTGTCCCAAAAATAAATAAATGTTGAAAAAAAATTAAAAAAAAAATAAAAATAAAAATGCAAATCACATCAAGACCATTCTGCTTAAACCTCTTCCCTTTACACTTCAAATAAATTCAACCCCTTTATCTCCGCCCATAAGGCCATAATCTGGTCCCTGACCTCTGTGACAATCCCATTTTATACCATTCTTTCCCTTGCCCACTACATTCCAACTTCAGTCTTTTTCTCGGTTCCTTGAATACTCTGAATTCTTTCTCACATGAGGTCCTTCCCATAGACGGTTTCCTCTGTTTGAAAAGCTCTGCCTTCACCTTCGAATTACTGGTCTTCATTCCTTAAGTCTTGGCTTTAAACCTCATCTCTCAGGGAAAATTTCCTTGACCATCCCAAATAAGTACTCCCTGGTGTATACTATGCTCGCAGCTTGTTAGTAACTGCTTTAATATCTTGTTTATTGTATTATTTCCCTACAGTCTGTAGGCTTCGAGAGAGAAAAGGCCACGCCTATTTTGGTCTTGACAGTATACTTGGCGCCAAGAGCCAGACCGGTAGAGTTGGCGCTCAGTATTCGTAGAATGAATGAATCAGGCATCAAAGAACAGAACTCTGCGGGGACGCACAGGCTTGTTGGGGGCGTGACCTCCTTAGAGGCGGAGTCTCCCAGCAGGGACTGAGACCGGAAGTCTGGGCGGGGCTTTCCAAGTGCGCGCTCACGCCTCGGGGCGGGGCTAACCAGGCAGAGAATTCGCGGACTTACTTTCCCTCTCCCCGACCAGTTTCCTTCCCCAGATCCCTGGCTCACCCGAAAGCACCTCTCCCCACCACTCGGATCCGCTCGTACTTCTCCATCTCATTTCTTAGTCACATTTCCGGAACCCCTACACCCAGACGCGGCGCGTGCGCGGACCCGCCCACCCTAGGGCCACGCCCCCTACGTTGCAAGATAATTGGGGGCGGAGCAAGTGAGATTGGAGTTGGTTCAGCCTTGTATCTGTTTTGTGCTGTTTAATGGGTCTTACCAGCCCCCACCCACAGTTACTTTTTCAGGGTCCGAGGAATGGAGTGTTATGCCGTTTCTTGGCGCGGTTAGCGGTACGGTACCA